GTTGGGACTACAGGCGCCTGCCACAACACCTGGCTATTTTTTTTGTTGTTGTAGTTTGACCAGGGCTGGGTTTGAACCTGCCACCCTCAGTATTTGGGGCCGGTGCCCTACTCACTGAGCAACAGGCACTGCCCAAGTTAATTCTTTTTAACTTGCAGATACTATTGACCAGTCTGCAACATTCATTTGACAATTTTTCCAGTATCTACTATTTAGGATTTCTTACATCTACTCACCCCACCCTGCCACCCTACATGCTTAAGTGATTAAGAGTCAGCTTGGTATGCTAAGTTCTACAGAAAAATAGCAGGATGATCTAAGGATCCAATTTCCTTAACAACCCATCCTTTTTTCCCCCCACTGGACCCATTGGAATCTAAACTATGATAAGGAAGACACACATAAGCAAGTTTGAGCGAGATGTTTACATTTATATTGAAATATACACTAAAACAGAATGAGTTCTACTGTCAATGAAACTTTGCCAAAGCAGAATCACAAACTTTCGTTGGGGAGGTCCAGTCAGCTAGCAGCAGTGATCCCCAAGCAGGAACACCAAGAAGAAGCCTGGGGGACCCCTCTCCAAAATGCCTCCTTTCAAGAGGCCCCAACTCACTTCTCCCACATGCACCCACACAAAAGTTAGGAGCTTGGACATGCTCCTCATTTTCATATATTTTTAGTTTCTTCTTCACTGCAATAAATATAAAATTGGCAATGCTCATACACCACAGCACAGACAATATTTCAGGCTTTAGCATACAACTGTAAACAGTGACTAGGTTAAAAAAATAAAAAAAGACAGTTTGAACTATTTTTTTTTTTAACGAGACAATTCTTAAGAGCAGGGCATGAGCTACTCAAGACTTCTTGTGTCAGGTTAAGGTTTATGACAAAAGGTTTCAGGCTTAGGCAGATGCCTTCAATAGTCCAAAAAGACCCAAGGTGGTGGCCCAAACGCTGCCTATGGCAATCTAGAATATGAGGACATAAAGACAACATCTCCTAAATCACCCTTGGCAGTGTAGGAAGTGTATCTTCAACCTGCCACATTCAAGATACGTCCACAGACATCTTTAGTTTCATCACTGGCTACCATCTAGTGTAGCAGGAATGTGTGGGCAAAGGAATTAAAATTTGCTGGGAGAGGAACAGAATAATGTCTCTGCTAGCTGCCTGTAAAGTTGGCCCCTTAATCACAATGACAACTAGGACATTTAACTTGGACAATGTATTAAATTTACAGATTTTTTTTAAAAAGTACAAAGACTAATCAGTATAGTTGTCACTGAAGCAAAGTGGATGTCAATCAAAAAAATATATTAACACTTTTTGCTTAAAGCAGTACAAAGAAATACAAGAAATGAAAGTGAACTCGGTATCTGCTCATTAGTAATGGGGCAGAATTTTATTTAAAAGGCTAGTGGTTCAAATACTATTGCTTGAATAGCTCTGGTAGATATAAAATGCAGGTTTTATATCTGAGGTTTCTACATGTACACATAAGCCAAGGAGCTGACAGCCAGCTCACAAAGGGATTATTTGATTCTCAGTCAAGAGAGAAGCTAGAAGCGCATGCTGCAGGAGTAACCTAATGGGTTTATCTGGGCCGTACTCCCATCCTTGGACAAAGAGAAAAAGACCTGGATAGGAAACTCTTTTCACACACAAAATTCTGGCTTAATTCTCCTTCCTATAAACAACTACATCTCAGTTGAGAATAAATCTGTCTTGAAAAACTCGGGAACCTGGGCTACTAAAAATAAAAAGGAAATTATAGTATAGTAAACAAGTTTAGTAAACACCACCTGTATTTTCTGTTAATGAAGACATGATACATTCAAAAAAAGCATTTTTTTAAAAAGACAAAAAACAAAAACATTTCTAGAAAGAGGTTGACCAAAAAAAAAAAAAAAAACAGCCCAAGTTCTACCCTTCTCAATCAGAAGTAGGTCTTAGTAGCAATCAGCAACCCCTTCCTCCAACTACAAAAGCACAGCCATTTGCTTTGCAAACAGCACATAAAACATATTACCTCACTTACTGAACTTGAACATTAAGCTCACTGCAGAGCACATTTTGATGGGTTACTTCAATACCCATCTGGTCCAGTTCAAAATATCTATTTGTAGACCCGGTTTGCACACATTCCATAGGTATACTGAACAATAAGCCATCTATTATCTCATTATTTTTCTAAATGGCAGTTTGTGTTGCTCAAGCAAACATTAAGATTATAAAGAGTTCTCTTGAAAGAAAGTGTAAGAAGAAGATACATTAATGAGAAACCTTAAAAGTTAAACTAACCTAGTTCTTTTTCACTAAAATGGTGGAACAGAAGTAGAATGTTCTAAAGAGCAGCTTCCCCACGGGAAAAGGCCAAATTTTCTGGGGATTGATAAAATTTAAACACTAAGACAATAAAAAGAAATAAAATATATATCTTAAGATATCGTAAAACTTGAAATGATGCCAGACACTATGGAATGGGGAACAGAGTTCTGATTTTGTTTTTTCTAAAAAAGGGAAACTATAACAGGTTTTAAGGGAAAAAGAAAACAAACCAGAACTCTGAATATGGATAGCACTACACAGACTCTAGAACACAGACCACTACACAAGAATGAGTTCTATATCGGTAATATTATGAGAGTAACTGGCTGGGATGTATACTTCCAGCAACAGAGCTCCTAGGTCAAAAATGCGATAAAAGTTTGTAATGTCAACAAGGACCAAGAAAAAGAAAAAAAGATGGGGTGAGGTGGCATACGGGAGGATGAAGAAGAAAACGGAGGAAAGGCTGCATGCATGGGTCTACTACAGACATGATATTCAGCAGCATAAAAATAATACCCTCTAAAGAGTCCCCGAATGGGGCAAAACCTGTTTTTTCACTGCTTAGCATAGGAAAGATTAAGAAAGTGGGACAAATTCACATATAACTATAGTGTCTCCCATATTTGAATGACAAAGCATGTTCACTCTGATGCTAAATATTAAGAAAATATTGAGGATACATATGAAAGCAAAATAAAAGCAAAAGACTAAATTATGAACCTTAAAAATTAGAAGAAAACATCTGTTTTAAAGCCAAGTAGGTGTGATTCTGATTATTATATATGACATAATCCATAGAAAGGCCAAAAAAAATCTTCATATTGTTCAGTACTTATGCTTGCTGTTGTCCTAGGAAAAACAGTGATAATTCAAAAAATATGTCACACATACAACTAAAAAGTCCGCTTCTAGTTACAAATGAATTTAAACAACAATCTTCCTTGGCTAATTTTTCTCCTGTCTCAAACAAACCTTTTATGTACAGGACCAGTTTAAATCCCTCCTCCCCTTCAAACACTAGATATGAACATCCAGGAACATTCTACAATGCAAAGTGCCTTAAGAAAGAGAAGGATTCTGTAGTGCCAGTGACATAACTGATCTGAGGAAGCTGGGATGCTATTAACACTGATGGGAGCCAGTCAGGCAATGGTGGTTTGCTTCTCCTCAGGTGTTTCCTCCAACAACTGCATGATCAGTTCATGGAGGGGTTTGCAGATCTTTGCATAGCCTCCTCCTGTGAGATGCAGAAAATCAAACATGTCATGGCAGGAGATGGCACCGTCCGAGTGCACGAAGCCCCCATCTATATCCAGGAGCTGCACATTGGTAAGCTTCGGCAGGGAAACCTTGAGAAGCTGGTTCACCTTGGCGTTCTTTTGCCTCAAAGGATTGGGCTTCTCACCTCGAGGTAACAAACCCTGGGACAGAGCAGAGAACATAAAATGAGAAGATTCATTTGTTTTTCTCTACTTATTTGTGATTTCAGGTACTTCTCCAACACTTTGGACTTTCTATACCTTTGATTTCTGTAATGCTGAACTATGTATTTTTTTGGTTTTTATTGAGACAGTGTCTCACTGTTGCAATGGGCAGGGTGTCATGGTGACATCACAGCTTACAGCAACCTCAAACTCTTGGGTTTAACTGATCCTCTTGCCTCAGTTTTTGATTTTTAGCAGACAGAGGCTCAACTCTTGCTTTAACTCCTGAGTTTGAGCAATCCACCCACCATGGCCTCCCAGAGTGCTGGGATTACAGGGGTGAGTTACCTCACCCGGCCAGCTATTTCTTCCTAGTTTCTATATGGTTCCTTCTCCTGTCCCTTAATTGTTGGGACTTATCCTCTGCCTATGACTCTTTTTGCTCTAAACACTTCAGCCCAGACCTTCAGAACTACTTATTAAAATTCCAGGTACAGAAACAAACTTGAACATTCCTTAGGCGCTTTCAACTTAACATGTCCAAAAGCAATTCATCAAACTAATTGCTCCTTCTATATTCTCTTTACAACTGGTCATTTCAACATCCCCGAGTCTCTCATGCCATATACCTTATCTATTTATTGTTAAATTACTCAGTTTCTGTATCCTAAATATTTCTCTAATCTCTTTTCTTTTTTTCGAGACAAAGTCTCACTATGTTGCCCTGGGTAGAGTGCCGTGGTGTCACAGCTCACAGATGAACCTCAAAATCTTGGGCTTAAACGATTCTCTTGCCTCAGCCTCCCAAGTGGCTGGAACTACAGGCACCCGCCACAACACCTGGCTATTTTTTTTGTTGCAGTTTAGCTAGCCCGGGCTGGGTTTAAACCAGCCACCCTCAGTGTATGTGGCTGGTGCTATAACCACTGTGCTATGGGTGCCAAGCCATCTATTTTCTTTTCTATATCCTGACTATATACTGCTATAGGTTAGGAACTTATCACCAATCACCTAATGTAAAATCTCCCAATTATCTTTCTGCCTCCAATGTTGTTCTCCCTTCAATCCATTCTCCATTTGGCTATCAAAATAATCTAGCTCAAATACTCATCTACTGCCACGCGCGGCGGCTCACGCCTTAATCCTAGCATTCTAGGAGGCGAAGGTGGGTGGATTGCTTGCATTGAGATGTTTGAGACCAGCCTGAGCAATAACAAGACCCTGTTGCTACTAAAAAAAAAAATTAAAAACTGAGGTAAGACGATTGCTTGAGCCTGAGAACTTGAGATTTCTGTGAGCTATCATGGCACTCTAGTCAGGATGCCAGAGTAAAAATCTGTCTCCAAAAACACAAACAAAAAAACCCTCCCCAACTCTCATCTATTAATGCCACACAGAAGCTACACCATAATATACCACAAGAAAGGGTGTTGAAATGAATGCTGCCTTGATGAATCAGACATCTGGTAAGATAAAACAGGGTTGTGTCCTAAATTCATTTTTTTACCCCTTAGACAGGTTTTGCTATAGTACCCAGGCTGGTATCAAACTCCTGGGCTTAAGTGATCCTCTCACCTCAGCTTCTTAAGTAGCTGGGACTACAGGTGCATGCTACTATGATCAGCTCTAAATATTTTTTTATCTTATATGCCAATAAACTACTATTGATAAATCAGATATGTCCTCTTATGATAGTAAAGAAAGAAAAGCCTATTTTTTACACAGCCAAGAGTAAGGTTTCATCTTCTTAGACTAAAAGGGAATTTTACAGACAACTGACCCCATTATAAATCACTGTCAGACATCTCAATCTATTTAGCTGGTTGCCCTCTAATACTGCCACACAACAAGATTTTATTTAGGCAAAAATTCTGCCACCAGTTTCTCTTACAGGGTAAGGTGAGAGGTCTTATTTCACAAAAAAATAGATTTTTTATGCGTATTACACTAAAACAACAACAATTATATCCAAAGGAAAGACTTATTCATGT